TATTTTATTTATTTATTTTTTTTTTTTTACCAGGGAAAACCAGGATCCCTGCTGATCAGTTGACAAGTAAAAAAGTAGTTTTTCCTAACTGTCAGTCTCATAGGCTCAGTTAAAAATCTAAGAGCCCTTCTTGACTGTGTTGTACATCATCATTGGTATAAAGATTCTCAATCCAAATGTGCCCCCAGTTGGACCAGTGCAACCTCTGGGCTTCAATAGGATTTCATATAACTAACAGCATAACTGTAACATGTTGGGGTTAGACAGGTATCTTCACAAACTATGCAGGTTCCTATGTCTGATGCATAAGCAAGATGAGAATCCAGTACACTCCCAGAGCTGTGTTGGCTCCACAAGACTGACACTAGTAAAGCCTCTGTATTGCTGAAGTCAGCAGCTCTTACAAATAGGGAGCCCCTGAATAGTACCAAGTTACCATTTTTACTTTGCTTTTCAGAGCAAAGCAGTCTTTCAGATGTACATTTTTTAGGGGAGGTGTGCAGGTATTCATTTTATAAGCAGAGCCATTTTGAAAGAAAAGGCCCTTTGAAATCTACTTAATTGAATGCTATATTGCCAAGAGGTCCTGCCCTGAGAGATGTTATTTTAGCCTGTATTATGCAGGTTATGAATTATGATTCACCTGGTTATCCTGGAAATCATTAAGCTGCTATGGCTAATGCTAGTCATTTTTTTCTCATTTGAAAGGCCACTAATTTGTTTTAATTTCTTTAAGAAGAAAAGAAAGGCCAGAGCACTTTTACTGTATTAAAATCCTCTTCAGTTCTAATATTTTCTGTTTGAACTTTATAAATGCATCCCTTTTGTGCCTCAGATTCCCTTGCTGTAAAACTGGGGTGGTGGTACTTGGCCATCTTTGTGTAGTTCTGACATATAAGTTCCTTGAAGTGCCGAGAATTGTAAATAGGTGATCTTACACAGGATTCCTATTTTTCGTAAATGTTTCTCACTCTTTGGATTCTGCTACTATTTGTGGGTCAAGTAGTAGCTGCCATTGCCAAGTTTGTTTTACAAATTAGTCTGTTGGTGCTCTGTCACTTTTTACCTTGATTTGCTCTGAAAGATTTCTTTTTTTTTTTTTTCTGTCTGTTCTCCACATCTTCATTTCATATCTACCGCTTGCTGTTGGGTGCTGGGGTGGTGTGGATGCTCAGGTGCATGGTTGACAGCCTAGAGGTTGCAAGTTCAAGGCCAGAGCAAAGTACTTACAGCATAGCCATGTCAGATTTCCACAAATTCTGCTAAATACCTTGTGACAAGAATATAAAAAGGAAGGAAGCCCTGCTGCTGGTTGTATTTGAACCAACCTGATTTCTTTTTTTTTTTTTTTTTTTTTTTTTTTTTTTTAACTGTCCTCTTCCTTTCCTCACACTTTAACCTTATTAAACTTGTCTGCCTTCTGCTGTTCCTTCTTTTTCTGTTGCTGCTCCTGGAATTCCCCAACCTTGCAACAATTCCTGTTCATTTTCTCATCCCGGCTCCTTGCTTTAACTGGCTGTTTGGGCCAGGGTCTTGATGTAATTTTGTGATAAGTCATGGAAACCTAAGAGTCTAAAGGGAAAATATTCTTTATTAGAGAGTATTGATGTAGTATGGAATGTTACTTTTTTCATTTTCACATACACATCCTAAATTGAAAGTAAAATGTAAAATTATAATTTGGTTAGTGCTTGCACGTCTGCCTCTCTGGAGCCATCCTATGTTTTACGAGCGATTGGTACTGACGAAGACTTGGCTCACTCCTCCATAAGGTAAGTACCATGAAACTTTGGACTCTTCCAAAGTCTGTTCCCTTTCTTAGACTAAAAACAGGATTTGTTTCTCTTATCCCACATGCGCTCACTATGTTATCACAGGTCATATTTTTGTTTTAGATTTGGCATTGGTCGTTTCACTACAGAAGAAGAAGTAGACTACACTGTACAGAAATGCATACAGCATGTCAAAAGACTGAGGGAGATGAGGTGAGCCACTTCTGTAATGAGTGTAAAGGACACTGGATACTGTAGGCTTCGTTTGGGTTTCCTCAAATTGTGCTGCCGGTGTGGTCCTCGTTTTAGAAATGAGATCCATTTGACAAAGTACTTAAAATCTGGTGGCCCCTTTACACATAGCCGCCCATTGTTGCTAATATTGGTGCTGACTTGGATGCTCTGACAAGATGGATCAGTTCATACTTACCCTGCATTTTAAACACTTCAAGTGCTCCACTACTTGTCACTGCTAGATATGGGATACTAACCGAGACAGACCTTTCATTTGACCTACATGACCATTTTTAGGGTACTATCACAAGTGGAGCTAATTAGCAATGCATGTGGTGTGTACAAGACTTTGGAGTAGAGGATTATCCTTTTAAAGAATTCTCCCATCTGCCTGGTGAACTCTTTGGAAATGAATCATGCTTGTTGATTATTGTCAGTAATGCCATTTTCTTGGTGTTCCAGATCATATCTAATTTTTCTCTCTTTTTTTTTTTTTCTTTCTGTCTTTACAGTCCTCTATGGGAAATGGTGCAGGATGGAATTGACCTCAAAAGCATTAAATGGACCCAGCACTAAGAAAGCAGTTCAGTTCTAACCCTGGACTAGATGGATGTGAAGTCAAGTACATTGTGTACATTCCTAAGCAAAATCATGTGGCACTTTCTAAAATCAATTTCATTTTGATGGCTTGGGGTTTTCTAAAGCCTAAATCCTAAAATTAAAAAGGGGGTAAAATTTGGTTAGGACACTTCCATTTCATTATACATGCGCACAAAGAAAGTTGCACTCTGACCTGGTGTCCATGGAATTGCATTTTCTTATATAAGAGTGTTGTTTCATCCTTTAGCCATGATATTTCTTAGTACAGAAGAATCCCTCCCATCAGGAAGTTCCTTCTTGGTATAATATGTCTTCTGCAATTGTTCTGCTTATGGCAAAATTCTATTACCAAGAAACTTGTTCCACTTTCTTGACTTATCTGCAACAGGAATATTAGCCTCAGTAGCAACCACCTGCTTTCTGTGTTATTTAGATAAACAGTCTGCTCAGAAATTAATTCTTTTACAGAAGGCTATTCAGCACTTCTAGAGGAAATTGAAACCTTAATTTATGGCCTTCTGATGGTGGTGGATGCTCCATTGTGTTAATTATACCTTCAGAGTTAATCTGCACGCTGTTAAGAACCCTTTAACTAGAGGTTTTGCCTTTTCACTTAACTTTTAATGTGTGATTTCTTTTGCAGTTTTACCTCTTTACATTTATTTTTGTCCTAATCCTCATACAGGCCAGCATGAATTAACCAGATGCATCCTTCTCTCTTTCCCAGTCTAGGGTATGACGGTGCTCTTTGTTCTCCCCATCAGTTGTTTCTTTTCCTTGAAGTCTATTTTCTTGAAAGTAAAGAGAAAAAATGTTTAATGTATTTCTTGGAGGGTTGTAGAATCCCATGGCTTGTCTGAACAGGAGTGGTAAGAAAGAAAAAGACACCAGTTATAATTCACTGTAAATTTCCTAATGCTGTTTCTGTTTTCTTTTTGGCGATGGAGCCTTTTACTCCTCCCATTTAAGAATCTGACCATGTGCAATAGTTTTCTAATTTTCAATGGGGGTAAATTATCTTTTTCTTAGCTTTGTCTTTCAAATCTGAATATTTTGCTAGCAGGTACAGATATATGAAACTCTATGGAGACTTCTTGATGCTTAGCTCCCTTTTTATTGAAGACATGTAGGTGTGGCATCCATTCTATTCAGTTGCTCAGAGTGTCCATTAAAGGGCATCTTGATAACAAATTAAATTTCATTGTTTTAGTTCCTTACTTCATTAAGACATTTAGATAGGGAATTTAATGCTGTGTTCTGAAGTGCCTTTTTATTACCTGGCTTATGTGTATGCATACTACTTCTCAGAAAATAGCTGGTCCACAAATTAATGCTTTACTTGGCACTGGATCTAAGGCATCTTACTGGCATGTCTCCTGTTGTGGACAGTAAAAAAAACACCTCTTGTGTCTACCTCAGATGCTCACCACAAATGAAAGCAGTCTCCTTGAAGCTAAATCTCACTCTGCAAGATGAGGCATATTGCAGAGTCCTGCACAATCTGATCACATAGCCTTTGGCTTTATCACTTTTACCATCAGTGATAGATTTAGCCCTTCATAGTGGGTGCAGATATTGCTGGGTCATTTTTCATTTGAAGTCGTTACTGCCTTTAGTAGTTCTAATATTGTAGTGATGGCAATTTGTAATGCATCATCGTAAGCATTTAAAGATTTTCAGTTGTGTATCTAGTTTTCAAAGTAATTGTAATATGTAGCTTGTATCTGTAACTTGCATACAGTTTCTGAAGTAACCATGTAATAATACTTTGCAAGCCTGTTTAAAAAAAATATTTCTGTTAAATTGTTCTGTTTTGCTCCCTAAATTATAAATCTTATATATAAGACTTAAATTTGATAATTTTCAGTCTGTGTCAGCGCAGCTCAGGATAGGGCCGCAGGGCCTGGCAACCCTATGCCCAACTGGACTGGGCTCTGGGGATGCGAGTACATTTGATCTAGCCCCACCACCCAATTACCCTATTCTCGCCTGCCATGACTTGACGTTGGCTGATACTTTCATCGGGAAGTGTTCAGTTCCACCACAACTTGTCTAGGATCCTTCTCCTAGCATCAGATCCTTCTTCTGGGGCTCCTACCTCCCCTACACTGCATTCATGCGCCACTTGGATCTGACCAGGGGACTTACTGGCTCATGGTTGCTTTGAGACTGTCTCCCCTGTATGATGGGTACCTGGGCCTGAACAGTCCCTTGTCAAAGTGTCATGAATGTAAAAAGAACTACAGAAGACACAGGACATTCAACTTGAATTCAGGTAAGTCCTTTCAGTGCCTTGGGCCCTGCAGCCTACAGGTGGCATCTTTCTGCTGCAGCACACTCAGACCCAGAGGGCTATAGAGGCTCTCCCCTTTTCGCAGGGCCCTGTTCTCTCTGGAACAAAAAAGTAAGTAAAAAAAACAAAAACCCCTGGCTGGGTTCGCCTCACTGTAGTGTGAAGGTCCCCCAGCCCTGGGCGCTTCCATGCTGGCTTGGCGCCTGTCAGCCAGGTCTGAGCACCTCTGGATATGGGCCTTTTCTCAGCCCTAACTCACTATGTGGGCCTGGGTATGGGAGCATGGCATCCACCCCATATCTCTCCCCTTTTCCTTGGCCTGTCACTGGTTCCTCCCCTTCTTGGTCTCGAGGTTGAGGTCTAGCCTGGCCGGCTGCCCTCTGGTCAACCCCACGAAACAGGAAAAAAATAAAAAACAAACCAGAACCTTAAACTAAGTATGGCCGCCTCTCCTGTCGCCGGCTTGTCCCCAGCAAGGCTTCCTACCAGCTTCTGCCGCTTTTCCTGCTGCAGGCTCAGCGCCGGTGTCTCCTGGCTTTCTAGAGTCCCTCTGAGCTCTTACATTGGCAAGCAGCCAGCTCCCCATCCTCTGGAACCTGTCCTTCAGCCTCCGGGTTTTCCTGCATCTGGGCGCTCTCTCCCAGCCTGTCCTTGCACTCCCTCCAGTCTACATGGCAGGCCAGAAATACCCGTGCAGCTGCGGGGCAGTCTGATCCAGACTGAATAGCTGCTGATAAAATGTAGTTCCTGCGGCATCCTTTTTCCTCCTGGTGTTGCTGGTTCTGGTGCATCAGGCAGGTGGGTCTCCAGCTGCTGTGGGTTTGGGCAGGTTTTTCTCTCTTCTCCACAGTTTGGTGGCAGTTACGTATTTGGAGAAAAACAGTATATAAAATTGGTTGTTACTTATTCTTCAGGTCTGTTTTGGATATTCAAAATTTTGGATGAAAACTTAAGAGTAAACCTGTTCTGAATGTACATGCCCCTTAGTCGATATCAGTGTCATCTTATATGGAGAGGGATAATAAGCCTCCAGAGTGGTGCACCTGAAAAGAAGGAAATGAAAAAAAGTTATCCAGTCTATCCTGTACCTGCTTCTCAGTCGTGGTGGGTGGCAGCCAGGGAAGGGGGCAGGAACTGGAGTATCTTCCTAGTCAGACCCCTCTGAGTCCTTGATGGCCTTAGAGTTAACCCTAGAGTTGCTGGTGAAGCAAGGTTTCATTAATTCCCTGCCAGAATCTGTGATAGCTCCTCAATCATATGTGCAAGTCACCCTCTGAGCATCTGAGACTGGATTGACATCTTGGGCCTTCTTATACTGTGCTTTTAGCACTTTTTGGCCTTGTCAAAGCACTGGTGCCAATCTTGGTTGCACCCCCAAGCAGCCATTTTGGAAGTAACACATTCATAGATGGCATAGGTATGGTGGCTTATCTGGAGTGAGTGTTAGGTGTCCCCTTCACCCCAGATGACAAAGAGGTCCCTCACATCAGTCTGCTTCCAGTTAGTAGACAACTTCTGCTGCATCTATGAAGACAGTGGCACTAACATTGTGCGCACAGCTGCTGTTGACATGTTCAAAATGGGCCCTCGACACTGTTCCACTGTTCTGGGCAGGAGAGTCCCCCAGTTTGCCTCCAGCAAAATGAGGATGCCTCTGTGCCTGCCAATAAATAGTAGAGATCATAAGCCAGACAGGTCCTATGACCCAGGAGTTCAGTGTAGTAGGTAATGAAGGCACGTCCTCAGAGCACTGCGGGGGGTGGGGGTGGAAGCAAAGCACTGTGGGGTGCCAGAAGACCCAATTCCTACTGCTTTGCAAAAATAACATGAAGCAATTCAAAATTGTTCATGTTTCTTCTGGGAGGATGGGGGTCATCTTTGAAGTGCAATGGCTGTATTTGAACTATTTAATTCTATTTAATTCACTGCATACGTCTCCACTCTCACTTGCCGGAGCCGTTTAATGGTACTTGGAGAGCTTCAAATATTGTAGCAGTCCATGCCCTAAAGTATCAAGATTTGGGCATTTCTTCTATGGATATCCATTTCAGTGTCCAATAATGAAAATGCATGCCAATCTTTACAAAATGAAAAAATCTTGGGGGTATACTTCCAGTCATGTTGACAAGAGAAGTTAGAGCAGAAAATACTGGAAGTGAACCATGGGCTGCAGACTCTGTGGCAACTGGGCTACAGCCTACCTGGTGGGGGTGGGGAGAGCTTTACAAATGGGACACTATATTTCACAGATAAATGAGGGGCCATTAATCTCAGTTGTAAACTGTATGGAGCAACCGTGTGGGCATTACATTTAACAATGTAAGGTGTTGGGGAGGTCAAAAGAAAATGCAAACTAAGTCTTGGTGTCTAAGGAAAAAAAATGAACCCATGTGAAAAAGGATGCAAGGAAAAGTAAAGTAATGTAATTGTAATGTTACTATAATTGGTCATACCGGAAGGATGAAATTTGGTGCAAGCGGTGAATGGCATTCTCCATTAGACACTATTGCCTGTTTTAGAGTTATCAGTAACTCAGAAGCACCAGATCACGAGAGCACATGGATTAATGTACTAACAAACCCCAAGAAAAGATATAGATTAGGGTCTGTTAAAGATCAGTGAATCAAATCAGAGAACAGCATGAGGTTCTCAAACACCAGTTTGTAGTGATTGGAAAGAAGTACTTTTATATGGATTTTGGTTGGGCAAGGCATTATTGAAGGTCATCTACAGACTGTAATCATCATTTGGGTTTCTAAACATAAACAAACTGGCAGAAAAGATTTGTATCCAACAGAAGATAACTATTTGGGATGTCACTGTGACTGATAAAAATAATAATAATAATAATTACTGAACTGGTACTTAGAGATTATATAGGAAGCAGTGATCATGATTTGATGTAATGTGGACAAACAAGACAATTCAAACTAACAATGCATACTAATAACATGTATACCCAGTGCATCATAAGTGTTAATTTCCCTAGTCTGAAGCAAGTAATGAGTGAAACTGACTGAGAGGAAGAACTTAATCCGAAAACTATGAATACAAATTGATACCTTTTGCAAGTGAACTTGCTGGGTGTTCAAAAAAATCATTATTCTACAATCAAGTAAAAGGACAACCTTGGACAAAAGCCCATCCTGGCTCAGAAAAGGCAGGAATACAAGGGTATTTCAGAAACTAAGAGCAATTTTGAATTGATGGAAGTTATCGGTTTCCCATGCTCCATAATTTTTCAGGAACCCTAAAGACAACAAAAATCCTAGCAAGGATCCATTTGTAGATAGAAATGATAAAGCTGTTGGTCATGCAGAAGAGGTAAAAGAAGTGTTCAATAAATTGTTCCATTTTCTGACTCTATTGACTTGAAAACTGATACTTTTATCACATGAAGATGTTAGAATACTTTTCGGTCAGTTTAGAACTGAGGAGAGTATTAGAAAACATCTATAAGGGCTAAACGTTTAAGCGCCTGGACATTACAATGTGGTTGCACCAAAAAAGGAGCACACCTGCTGGAATCTTTTTTCATGCAAGGCTGGTATTTTTTTTTTTTTTTACATCGTTTTACAATCCTATTTGGTGTGCTGTGGGGCCATGCAGGCATCCACATGACTAACATGCAAAGTGCATATACCTGGCTCCATATGTTCATATTTGAGCATAAGTCCAAAAATTGTAGTCTAGCAAAAATGGGAGAGATGGTTAATTAGATTACTAGTGTTTGGTAGGTTGGCTACTGATGACAGAGGCAGGACCATTCCTGAAGGGCAGTTCCAAAGAGGATGGAGTAGACTGTTTTCAATGATGGCAGATGACAGAACAAGGGACAATGGTTTCAAGTTCCAGCAAGGGAAGTTTAGGTTAGCTACTAGAAAAAACTCTCTCACTAGCAGGGGAGTAAAACACGGAAACAGGTTACCCAGAGGGGTTGTGGAATCTCCATCTCTGGAGATTTTTAAGAACCAGCTAGACAAAGCCTTGGCTGGGATGATCTAGTTGGGGACAGTCCTGCATTGAGCAGGGGGTTGGACTAGAAAAATTACCTCCTGAGGTCCCTTCTAACTCTAATTTTCTATGATTCTATAAAATGCTTGGTCTGCAGCCTGACCTTTTAATATTTATGCCCCAAAGCACAAGAATTCTAATACAAGTTTCCCTTGATTTATATGGGTTCTTTATATGCAAATTCACTCATGCAATGAGCATATTTAGACCCGTAATTAGTTATATGAGAGGTAAATTCACTCTTATGTGATCAGCGTGCATGCACCCCCGCCCAAGCAGGTAAGTATGTGTGAGGAGGGGAAAGGGCCATGGCCCCGCTCACCCCAGCCCCGGCTGCAGTGGCCATGGGAGCGGCTGGCGCCAGTTGCTTGCAGCTGCAGGACTGCACCATGCTCTGCCTGTCCCCAGGGCTGACACAGCAGGTGCGTGGGGGTACATATACACCCCCTGAGTGCCAGTGAACCCCCTGTCCAGTTGTGCTCCCTGTATAGCCGGCAGGCAGGGGGGCAGGTGGTAGCACCAGTACCCTGTCCCCCGCAAGTGCCAGCCAGGAAGCGGAGCCGCCAGCAAAAGTGGCCACACCGCTTCTGGAAGTGGCCGCAGGAGTTCTGGAAGTGGCGCACCTGCTTTTATGGTGAATGTGATCGGCCAGCTCTCCCCCAGCCAGCAGGATCGACCACCAGGGACCACTCCCTGCCCTCCTCCCCAGTCAGCAAGATAGGCCACTGGGGGACCCCCCCCTGCCCAGTCACTGACTGGTGTCAGGGGGCATGTGCCCCCCGACTCGAGGCACCAGACACCCATGCCTATCCCCCTGCGCCTGGGCTCGCCCCAGCTCCTGGGCTGCACCATGCCATGGTGCAGGCAGCTGGTGACAGCTGCTCCCAGGGCCATTCCAGCATGGGCTGGGGTGAGTGTGGACAAGTGGAGCCCTTGGCGGCGCAGGGTGCAGCACTCGCCCCAGCCCTGGCTGCAGTGGCCCTGGGAGCAGCCGACACCAGCTGCTTGCACCAGGGCACTGGGCAGCCCAAGAGCAGAGGTGAGTGGGGACAGGCAGAGCGAAGCGCAGCCCAGTGGCTACAGGCAGCTGGTGCCAGCCGCTCCCAGGGCTGCTGCAGCCAGGGCTGGGGTGAATGCCGCTCTTTTCCCTCTGCTTTGCTGCCTTGTGCAGCCCCCGGAGCGGCACCCTTCCCACTGCCCCTTCCCTAGTCCCAGCCTCACTCCCTCCCTCCCTCACCACCATGGCAACCTATCCTTATTTGTTATATTGTAAAATGGGTTTAATCTGTGCGCCGTTCTCTCAGAATGCATGTACAGCATAAATCGAGAGAAACCTGTAAAATAAAAGGCTTAGTCTGTGTGTATGTCTGTCTGTAACACTTTTGGGCAACTGCGCATGCGCTGCTGAGAGGGCGGGCAGTGATTGGCTGCTCATGCCCAAGTTGCCGGGGAAGTTTGTGGCGGCAGTGAACACACCCCAGCCACCTGAGCAGCAGCACTTCCCTCGCTGCCTGAGGGTGAAGAGGGAGAATCATGGTGGCAGCACCTCCCCCTCCTCCCCGCCACACCACCCCCCAGAACAGCCAGCAGGGAGGGGAAGGTGGCAGGCAGAGAGGGAGGGAGGATGGAGCGGGGTCAGAGCTGGACTGGTGGGTAGAGTGGGCCCAGACCCGGAGCAGCGGAGGAGGCAGGGGTAGAGTGGGGTTGGGCCTGGAGTGGCCAGGGGAGGGGAAGAATTGAGCGTGGCCAGAGCTGGAGTGGTGGTGAGGGTGGGTAGAGCAGGGCCAGACCCAGAGCAGCTGCGGGGCGGGGCTGGACCCCGAGTGGTGGGGGCGAGAGTTGATTGGGCATGGACCCAGAGCAGCAGGGAGGTGGGGAGTTGAGCAGGGCTGGACCTGGAGCGGCCAGGGGGGAGGGGGAAGTTGAGAGGGGCTGAACCCAGAGCAGCAGGTGGGGGATGCGGGGGCTCCCCCCCATCATCTTGATGGGCAATTTGCTAGTAAACACTTATGTCTGCCTGGCTACTGGTCCTCTGCACAATACAGATTCTCACCTATCCCAATTGGGGAGATTCAGGAGAGAGAAGCAGCACACAAACTGGCAATAAAATTTTCCTGTATTTACAATTTCCTCCTCCAGTTTACATACCATATTGACACACGACTTATTCTAACACATTTTATGATTGGTTTATTAAAAATGTCTTTGTTTCACTGAAACTTTGGGAACCAGACTGGACCAATTTCTCTGTAGTATTAGAACATGTCAATTAGATGGTATTTATGTTCTTGTGAAAATTAAAATTTTTGGTAGAGAATTTCTCATCTCCTTCCTTCACTATCTTGGAATGCTACTTTCCACTGTACTGTTTTCTTTTCACCTTGGTTTATGGTTTTCACTGGCAAAGCTGCTTCATTCTTACAACTTCTCAGAAATATAATGCAAATATTTCTATTACAGAAAACGTACATCTGATATATTTGGTTATATCAATCCTTATTACTACTAACATTTTAAACTGAGGCTATATTTTAATACAATGGAAACACAAGAATGGCAAGAGACTAATGTAGCTAGATAAGGAGCTTCTAGAATGCCTCGTGCAAAAGGAAAGTATACAGACAATGGAAGAATAAGCAGCACACAGGGAAGTAGCAAGAGACAAAAGGGACAAAATCAATAAGGCAAAGGTAAAAAGCGAGCTTTACCTGTTGATGGAAGTTAAAGACAATAAGAAGAGGTTCTATAATTGTTGGCCAGAAAAGAAAGACCAAGAAAGCTCTGGGTTTACTGTTAAATAACCAGAGCAAACTCTTAACAGAAGATGTAAAGGTAGAGCTGCTCAACAGCTGCTTTGCCTTAGTTGTCACAAAAAATTAGGCTGCAACCAGACAGCTAATACGGATTGTCATTCTAATATAATAAAGGGCTTAGTTCATCTGTCTGTCTGTCCATAACACTCTCTGGAGCACTCCGATTGGTTACTCAAACAACCAATCAGAGAACTCCAAAAGCATTCTGAACAGCAGGTAGCAAAAAAGAGAACAAAAAAGGCCAAAAAACCCAGCTGAGACTTTTGATCGGTATGAATTAATTGAGTAAGTGCTTAAGAGGGGATATGACAGCAGTCTTAAAGGGCTGTCATAAAGAAGGAGAACACCTTTTCTCTCTTGCTGCAGACAGCACGATGAAGACCATTGGCTAGAAACTGCAGCAAAGTAGGCTTATACTGGATATCAGGAAAAACTTCTTCACTTTTAGAACAGTGAGGCCGTGGAATAGACTGCCTAGAGATAGCTGTAGAATCTCCATTATTGGACGAGTTCAAGAAGAGGGGGGTGCTTCCAAAAATATATTGGGGTCATTGATGGCACCCACAGTCCCTTCTTGTATCCGGTGCACACTGACGCATCAACCACAATGGATGAGTCGCCATTGTGTTGCGAAAGGTCTTTGACCGCTGAGCACAGCTTACCCCCGAGACTGTTAGGGCGTTAGTTGAGGTATACAACACCAGGGTCTTCAGGAACTCCCACCTACTGCCTGGCTGACATGAATGTTCCCCATGGCACTCCCAGCCCCAAATTGGAAGGGAACAACTATCCCCGTCTTACTTCTTGGAGATTTGGCCCATCCACTCCTCCCATAACTCTTGACGGCCTACACCTGATACTGATAGCAGGAAGGAGCTCTTCAACTGGTTGAGCAGCTGCTGGGTGACTCCGGAGTGCATGTTTAAGTGCATCAAAGCATAAAGGCAGCCACTGTGGGTGCATCTGGATGCTAGAGTGGTACATATGCTTAAAGGTAATTTCAGCCTGCATCTTGCACACCTGTGAAACCACTGGCTTGATCTTTCTGGAAGCCTGGAAAGTAAAGATCCAGAAGCTTGACAGCTGGTACCAGGCCCCAGAAACAGCCTTGTGAGCGCCACAGCTATGAGGGCCTTCTTGTTTGCGAGGCCCTGGCTAGCTCTTTTAGTGGTTCTGGGCTGCAGAGTGGGAAGAGGGCACCATGGTGTAAAATTCAAATGAATGCAGGTTTGACCAGTGCCAGATTTAGGCTTAAGCTACAGTTTAGGGCCTCACACTATGAGAGGCCTCTAAATAAGAAAAAAAAACCCTGACTCAATATCAAGTTTTGTAATAATCAGCTGGTAAATAAAGGAGATATGGGAAAATGACTCCCTAAATATGGACATTTTCATTCTAATATGACAAAAAATATATACAAACGTTGGGTTATTTTAATCATATGGGGCCTCTTAAACTGGTCATAGTTTAGGGCCTCAGCATGTCATAATCCAGCACTGGATTTGACTTTACGTATGTGTGTACCAAATGCACTTCACATTAAACAATTCCTAACTGTGATGCCTAGCGGTACTTTACCTGGAGGCAGAGAAAGGGCTTTCAGGTGCTTTTGCTTATGAAGTCTACTAGATTTTGCAGGTTAGAGGGCTAAGGCTGCCAGTGAGGCATCAGGCAGGCTCAACACAGACATGCAAGCCCAGGAACGCGGGCGAAGGCGGGAAGGCACGGAGCTCAGCCCGGAAACCAGAGAGGTGGAGGCCCCAAGCCCGCCCGAACCGCTAGTACCGTCAGAGTGCGGAGGGGTGACGACCCGGAGCCGAGAAGCCTTGTAGGGAGGCAGCTCCAGGCCGCCGCTTCCCAGCCTGTGGGGCGTGACGAAGATGGAGGCGGCAGCGGCCAGACAGGTAGCGCGACCTGGATCCCCCCTGCAGCCAGACACTAGCACTGCGGCGCGTTACCGTGCGCCTGCGGGCACCCACCGGGGCGGGGCGGGGCGAGCAACGTCACCTACTGGCCCCGCCCAGGAGGCGCGCGCCGC